GCTTAATGTCATTCCCACTGCAATCAATAGCAAAACTCCTAAATACTGCAGCTGGAGAACAATTAGACCAGTATTGAATACATTAGAAAAAATATTGATTTGGTGGAATTGAGGTTTGGTGTTGGTGAGTTTGGCTTTGTTAGTGCTAGGGAAACTGCCCTTGTGATAAAAGCTGAACTTGAACCAACTTCAGTCCACTTCTGTCTCAGATTTAGCTTCTCCCTGATGCTGTTCTGATATTCTGGTAATGATTTCTGTAGACCAGCCTGAAGTTAGCTGCTGAGGACAGCTAGGTCACCCAATATCACAGTCTGTTCTTTCAAAAGTCTGAAAATAAGGTATTCCAAGTAGAAGCTGCTGTTTTCAAGTATTGCCTTCTTTAAATTCATTAGGGGAGCCTAAATTTCTGCTCCTACAGATACCTTGCACAAGTGCATCTCTTTATACCCCAGAGATATGGGACTTGGCACAGATTTCAAGTGTGTGATTGAAATTCCCAGCTCCATGGATTTTCAGGCCAGAGAGGCTGTTGCATTGATCTAATCAGAGCTAACACATAGATCAGGAAACCAATGACTCCCTGCTTCAAGTCCCGCATCTGAAGTTGAACTAGGATCTTGGTTTTTAGAAAAACACACCGCAGTGCAAGATGAAGTTTAATTGTCTTTCAGGAGAAAAACTCACTAGAGCTTTGGGTGGCTTATTCCAATTAGTAACTCCATCCAGTGGTCAAACAGACCTAGTATTTCTACATGTAATCTACCTATAGCTTACAACTATTAGTTTCCAATCAGCTTTTTATACCCAAGGCTGTAATATCCTCTGTTATCACATGCCTATCCTCCTTATCAGTATTTACAGACCATGATTAAGCTATGTCTTAGCCTTCTCTTTAACAAAGTCCCCTGAGTCTTATAAAACATGATCTCTGATTGTTTTCTTACTCTTTCAGATACTTTTTAAATTGTGCCCAATTTCTAAACTTTTTTGCTTGAAGAACAGACATCTTAAACAGACATGTCGCATTTCAGCAGTTTTTGCAGCAAACAATGACAGCTATTACATGACTTTCTGTAGCAAAAGAGGGAAAAACAGAAAAAAGGAAGAAGACACAGAATGGAAGGGAATGGTTTAAAAAGAGACAAAAGAATGATTGAAAGAAAATGGAGAGGGAAGGAAAGAATCTAGAGCAGGATGAGGTAGCAGAGAGATAAACACTTACTGAAGTAGAAGTTCAGGAAGAAGGAAGAGATGTTGAACAGACCATGCAAAGCAGTAGTTATTTACAAGTACGCTTCCTTAAGTTATCCTGTCAGTTCCAAGAGGGACTGACACTCGATTCTCCTACCTATCCTTCTCAATTATTTCAGGCAATCAAGGATCTCCAGTAGTGATCGCTGCAATACCTTCTGTGGTTAAGAACACAAATAAATGTGTACAAAATTTTTTGGAAGCAGAGCTCATTAACCTGCAAGACACCAAACCAACTGAGAGCCTCCCCAACACCTACCAGCTGTGGTACAATTGAGCTCCACAGCAGTGGGACTGCTTTTCTTCCCATCCCCTGCCCTGGAAATACCCACCTTACTTCAAGGCCAGCACTGAAGGACTTAGAAGAAACAAAAGGCACACCAAAACAAAGCACACATATGGAGCTCTGGGCTCCAGTCATCAGGCCTGGGACATCTGTGGCTTTCTGAGGATGCCTGCATGTTCAAGTAATTAGACCAAGGCCAGCTGTCCCCTTCTCATTCTTCACCCTTTATGCTCCCATTGCTTCTGCTACCATGGTCTGTCCAAACAATGATTTGTCTGATGGATCACCAAAGAGTAGGTTTTTTGTTGTTGTTTATTCTTTGGAAGGCTGGAGTGGAACAGAACTGGTAAGACAGTACAGAGGAGAAAGGACTCTTCTTAGTATATCCCATGAGACACCTCGGTGTTTCCAAATATGTTTGCCATATCAGAGGAAAGATTTGCTTTAACCTTTATATTCTGAAGTCATAAACTCCAAACATTTGCACTGATACTGAAGATGCAACCATCAGTATTGAACCTGGCTGCTCAGGAAACCTTACTGCTTTATAGACAACTCTGGTATTCTGGGCCTAATTTCCCTGTCAGTGATCCAGATGTAATTCAGGGAAATTAATGAACCACATTTCAATCTCAAGACACTGCCTGTAGCACACTGCTTTCTGAAATCTTTCCTGCCAATTTGTGCTAGAGCAAGCTAGAAGTACTGTGGGACACAGGTCTCCACATCAGCGGGGTTTCCACAGTACTGCTGAAGAAACCCAGTGAAGCTTTTACCAGCTGAGGGAAGGCAGGAGTGAGAACAGAACCAACCCTTTCCCTCAACTGTGAAATTACATATGTAGCTTTGCCCCAAAGCCAGGATCCCAGACAGGCCCAAGCTGGAGCTGGAGAAGGAACGCTGCTCCCCAGCCTGCGTTTAGCAAGTCAGGCATGACAAAGCAAAAGGCTGTGTGTGCACTGAGCAGCCCCATCCCCTGACAGGGCAGCGAGCGCCTGGATGATACATTCACTGCAGCCTGTGCTGCATCGTGCCTGCCCGTGTACCATCTCCATAGCAGCAGTTCTGCTAATTGAGACCAGCTGCTTCAATTCCATATTCTTCTCTCCAGAAATATCGATACTACAACGTTATGATTAGAAAGCACTTTACCAAATGCCTCTCAATTCTGCACAGCTCAGATGAGGAGCAGCTGCAGAGAGAAGGGACAGTTCACTGAACATACAGAATAAAACACTGCAAAAACACTGGAGAAATGAAGGGTACAAGAAGCAAGTCAAAACAGAATAATGATGACAAAGAAAGCAGCCTGCTGTATATGCTTCTGCCTGTCACTTTAGATGTTGAAAGGACCGTGAGCAGACTTTTTCCTTATGCTGTAGGATAAATGGCCATAGTTTCAGATTCATGTGGCAGGTGTGCATGTTTGTCAGATCCAGCTTTTCTGTCCAAGGAAGGATTAAAGCAAAATCCATCAATCTGGGCCTGGCTTGGAAGAGTAGCTGTGGTCTTGCATCATTTGGCTCTGGGGGCTGCTCTGCACAGCCCACTGGCAAAGAAAGTCACTGGAACTGATAAGCTGGTGGGAAGACTTGCAAAGTAGGAATGCCACCACACCACGATGACTTGGCCTCACTGTTGGCTATCTCCCTGTGGCTGATGGCTACACACAGCAAGCTGTCAGCTGGATGCTTCACAATGGTCACACTGGGATTGCCAAAAGCTGCAAGCACTTTTCCCCTCCAGCCAGACTGGATTAAACTGGCTAACAGTATTCTAAATTCACTTAGAAGTCTCAGGCCCTGCCTGTGACCACCAGGCACAGGGCATTCCTGAAAAGACATCTGGTTACTGAATTTATGTAAGAACTGGGCAAACCACTCCAGTCCCATCTGTTATTCCAACCTCCTGAGCACAGAGAACAGAATCCTTGAAAGAGAAAATCTCACAAAGAAGGGTCTGAAAATGAGAACCACGAAGCAACATGTAATTTCCTCCTGCGAAAGATGATGCAAAACCTTACAGAAAACGTGGCATGCTCCAGCATGTGCCTGTGTAAACAAGGGCCTAACACAGTTTCACTACTCAGATTTCATACTACAGCCGAGGTAATGTAACACAGCTAAAGCAGAGAGATTGCTTTGCTATGCTAAGTGATTTGCCTCCTACTCTGAAAATCAGTGAGGTAAATAAAGTGTTTTCCATAAATACCAGGCAGTTTCTCTCACCAAAGAAAATGATCAAGTTTTTCAGAACTATTCCTATTATTTTGCTCCAGAATATATTCAGTGCTTAGTGTCCCATTCAGATTTCACCATTTACAAAAAGTTTTCTTACCTATTTCACTTTCTAACTTTTGGTCTATATTAGAAGTCTGTTTGAATCCACAGTACTGCAGGAGAGGGAATACATCAATGAAATTCCACAAAGGAAAAGTCTGAACATGTTACAATTGAGTATAAACTTTCAGAAGCCTTGTCTGAAAAAATATAAACTTATATTTTTTGTGTAACATTCACTGACTGCATATTAGCTTACACTCCATTTTCTTTCTGCTCTGAGTATGGCTGCTGTACTTACTTGTGCTGGAAACAGCTGACACAGAAGTCGATATGGGAAACAGGAGTATAAAGATGAGCTTATATAGAGAAGCTCTGTATGCTTATATAGGGAAGTCACCTCAATAAAGTGCTCAACACTGCATGCAAACCTGTTAGTGTAATTTGCAGGTGACAGCGTGACGGAATTCTGTTGATTGCAGTGCAGTTGTGTTCCTTCCCATCAAGCTGAATTTAGCCTCTCTAGTCACCAAATCACATGAATAAACTGCTATGCATACATTTATTTTATTTTTAGGTTTCCAAGATCAATCAATGACATTCATGTGAGGAGAATCACAAGGCTAGGTAAAAAACAAACGAAGCTCTTCTGAACGCTAACAGTCATTGAGACCATTGGGACGAACACTTTGATGGCTTCCAATGGCACAGCTCTGTGGACTGTAAACTGAATTACAACAGCTTTAAGCAGTCGTGGACCCTGGAACATCAGATCATAGAGAACCCATGCAGCAGAGCAAGCAGTAGGAGTATTCAAGTAACAGATCCACCAGCCCCTGTTAAGTCTCTTTATATTGACATTTGTACACCTCAACCTGCAGTGTACCACAATGACACTGTTGTAGTGGTGAAAGTCAGGTGCCCAACATATATTGGCCTCAGCAGAGAAGCAACAACTCTGCAGCTGACTGTTTATTTTGTGCACAAAGCACAGGCATTCTCCCATTTCATTTCAGCTGCCCTCGCCTCCCCCATAACTAAATTATTGTTATTATGCTCTGCATAATCCTAGTACTGACAGGGATGTTTGTTATACATAATTAAAGATATTAATTTTGCATGGAACAGAAGACACGGAGCCAGGAACTTAATCTTTTTTTTTAAATCTTCTATTAGAAAATTACCTTCATTAGCACCGACTCACTGAGCTTCTCTCTGTTGACAATTTTTATCGCGACCTTCTGACACGTGACACAGTGAACACCCAACTTCACAAGCCCTGCAGGAGAAACAAAGCAAAATAGAAAGGAAGAACTGGTTAGAGGTTGAGGTTAGTTGTCTAGGTTTTTACTTTTACAACACCATCCAGCTGTTGGCAGCTTATAGGCAAAAAAAATCCCATTAGCACCTCCTCCATCCAGAAAAGGTCTTGTGAGTAAAGAAGACCCTTCAGCCCGCATTGTGACCATTTGGCAGTGAAGCCACCAACATCACTGATGCTCCTGCAGTTTCTGCCACTAGAACTGTGGTTTTGTTGAAGCACTGCAGCACAGCTCTCACCACCCAAAGTGTGTTCTGCCAGTAAGAAGTTCTGGCAATCGAACTGCACTGGACTAAGGGTTTTTACTGGCACCTGACATCAACAAAAGCTTGGAAATCAACAAAACTAGGTGGCCAGTGTAGACATGGCTTCTATGTTTCTCTAGCTCTTTCCAAAGTTTCCATGATTACAATAAAAAGACACTTAATTATGGCTTCCCCTACTGTTTTAAGTTACCCTGCTGGAAAAAGTTAATACTGTGATGAATGCCACGGTGGTATGGAGGAAATCAGCATACACTGCTACAATTCTATGTTCTTATTTGTTATTATTTACTATGTTCTTGTCCTCAAATAAGATGTTGGCAAAAGGATGGCGATTTCTCTGACAGGATTAGGATGTCTGAACTATCATCAAAATAGGGAACACCAGGACTTAAAAGAAAGAGGTAAATAGCATACATGAGCCATCATCTTCTGCAAAATTTTCATGTAAGTCTGGCGACTTACATGAAGGTACATTGACATACCTCCCACAAGTGAGTTTAAGATGGTCCCTTGAGCTCTCAACTCTACTGCCATTAAGAAAATTTGTATCCGGAAAAGTTGTACTTCATAGGTTATTCAAGTGAGATCTTGTTTGCTTCAGGTTTTACTCTTGTCTAACATGCACTTTCAGCACAACACCTGATGGGCTGGATACCATCCCATTCCACACACTACATGCCAAATCGCCATTTAGCTTAATTCAGTTATAACTGAACTAAAAAAGAAATGGCACCTCCCCAGTGTCACTAAGACCTGCTGTGTTTTGCAGAGCATTTATAAACAATGACATCAAACAGCAGGAAAAAGATTTAGTTCCCAACTCCTAAGCTAGGCTGCAGTTAAGAAGCCAACCCCATCCTCTAATGCAAACCACAAAGCCAAACACCTTGCTTTATGTGGAATTTCAACACAACAGATTTTCAGTCCAGTGAAACGCTGAACACAAGACTTCACAAGTCTTACTGAGGGACAATTAGGTTATTGCCTCACTATAAACTGGGCCCAATTAAGTGAACAAGAGTTCCTGAGTTTCTTCAATAGTCTTCTGCAGGTACTTGTCCATCCTTTTGCTAAGCAGTTAATCATAAATTTGGAATTATTAATCACCAGCTATTATGTGGAGAAATAAACTCCCAACTTGCTTACAGTCACATCTCTTTTATTGGCATGCTCAAGTGTTCTGGATATTTCTAGTCACATAATTTCTCAGTCTCATCTGCTTAAATGCTGACATCCTCACTTTCAGCCATGACATAAACAAGTCACAAAAATTAAGAATGCAGTGCACTGACAAATCCATTTGAAACTGTGTATAGCAATAGCGTGTCCTCTGCCTGAAGCAACTGAGAAGCAGAGCTGGGGCCAGATGCTGTGATGTCCAACCACACTCACTTCTCTGTCTGAATTTTTTCCATTCAATTTGTAATATTAACCAAAGTACTTCTGGCTTTATGTTCACTGTTCAGAGCACCTGCAGCCTAACTTATGCTTCTTCCCTTTGGCTTTGTTCTGTGTTTAGATAGAGGCTACTTGGCACCACCCTGTTGAAAGCGTGCACTGTTTCAATCTGTGCTGATTGCTTCCTTCCTGCTCCTAGGACAAACCACAGCCTTACATCACTCTTGCAGCACAATGACAGCACTTTTTACATTGCTCTTAGTTACAATTTCAAATCTCAGCAGAACTTCTAGCTCAGTCTCTTATACCTAGACTTCCAGGATCTGTGGCATCATGTTGTACTGTAACGTGGCACAGACCAATTATTTTCAAAGGTCAATAAGGATGAGAAACATCTGCTCTGTAACTGGTTCTTCACTAATGATATAACAGACTTCTGATATCTCACGCTCCAGGGTTTGATTTCAAGTCTTGTTGCTCCCAAATCAAGACATCTGTCAGACTGAATTTGGCTGATTTGTAAACTACTTTTCTTTTGTCCTCCTTGAAGCACCCTGTCATTGAGCCCTTAGAAGGGTTTAACCATGAATTTCTGGGACAGAAATCTGGGTATCTTCAGTGTCCTCTGTCCTTGTAGCTATTTACCTACCACAGAAACTCAAAAATTAAGATTAAACCATTCCATTTACTCCAATAAAAAGTTAACCAACTGTCAGAAGACACCAAACACTTTGCAAAAATAAAACTCGTACTGAATCAGACTGATTTTATATTGAATTAATTTCATTAACCTCAAGAAGTCATTCTTGATTTATGCCATGGTATCAAAGGACAGAATGAGAAAACATATGTGAGATTTAATGCATCTTTCCTCTTCTCCTGATTTGCATTTTAAAAATCAAGAAAAGAAATGCAATGTCATTGCTGTCTGTTTTGTGGAGATAGAAATTTTAGACAACCCTCTGAACAGCCCAAGACAGCACTTTTCACTGTACTAAATTCACTGAATGTAATTTTAGGATAAAAATAAAACATGTTGCTATGCCTTGCTTCCTCCCTTCTCCCATGGCCACTTCCTTTTGACATTTGTATGCCAGTGTAAGCAGGGAAAAAAAATAAAAAAATTCCTCTTGGTAAGTCCATCTATGGGATAACACCCTCCTCTCCTGCTACTATTAAGAAAGCCTAACTGAGCTGAGGTAGGAAGGGTTTGTCCTCAGGACTTCTGTTTCTGTCCTGTAATTTCAGTCAACTGTGTAACTACTGAGAGATGACTTAAATGTGGATTTGAGATCCTGCGGGTTTCTGGTTCTTAAGGAGCCCTTTCACTGACACAGAGAACACAAACCATTGAAGATGCATTAATTATCCATATAATAATAGACCTTAGAGAGAAGCAACTATGTGAATAAACTGCTGAGATGTAACTGAAATAATGGAAGTGGCAGAAATGCCTGCTTGGAATCAAGTGTCCAAGGTGTGCTTACAGGTTTGTGGAAAAGATGGTGCACTTCTCATTTTTTCCTCTTCTCCTGCTGTATATGCAGCTGTTAATGAGCACTTCAAAACTATATAAATCCTCCTCCAATACAAATTTATCAATAAGCTATGTACTTATTTGTAAAGCTTACCTATACAGTCAGGCCAGCACAGGTACTGTGTCTTCTGTGAAGGAAAACAAACACAGCTGCTGCTGCTGCAAGGATATTTTGCACCGATTTGGCTTACAGTAAGTCTGCCAGGCAACAAATAGAGCTTGAACTTGTCTGTTTCATGAGTAATTAACCCCTCAAATGCAGGCAAGTAACCTTTGTGACTGCTAAAGTTAACTCTGGTCTGTCCTGACAGAAAATCTAAGATGCTGTGGGAATCAACTGCTTGAAGTTTCTCTCAACCACCCACACAGCTGCCACACGCTCACTGCTTCAGGCACACCTCAGATCTCCATCTATAGGTCACTCCTGGGGACTCTGGACACTCACATCCTGGGGCTTTCAAATCAGTTGCTGCATCCAATGAACTGCAAACATTGGGCTGCTTTTGATCTTAGCCACTGAACTGCATCAGAACCAGGCCTATAATTGCAGGTTGGGGAGTAAAGAAGAAAATGTGAACACACTGGAAAGCAAGGGGATGTGTAAGTTAACACAGACTTTTCATCATAATTAAAAGCTGCAGTTTGGGAACCAACGACCATGAGAAACCCCAGATAACAAAAAGATACCACTGAAGGAAGAAGAGCAAAGGGAAGTGTACAGGCCTGACATAGCCCAATGCAGCAGTGACCTGCTAATAGCCATGCCTGAGTATTTTTTTTGCTGGCAAACTCCCACTCAGTGGATGCTTACAGATATACAGATAGTTTTTGAAAAGGACAGAAGCTTATGTGATGAGCAAGAGACAGATTTAGATCAGCTGAAAAGGTGGACAGCCCATCCTGAAGCAGTACAGAGAGAAGATTCTTCTTTTACTCAAGAAGAATATTCTGTGGGGATGGAGAAACAAAAGCTTCTCTACAGCTGAGACAATATATTCACTGTGAATCCATGACCACAGCCAAGTGCCTGATATTGCAACTGGCAATCACCTTCAGGACTTTTCAGCCAAGGACAGGATTTCAGAAGAGACTCATTTACTTTTGCCTTGCATTTTGTGTAGCAATTTTCTTTAGCAGAGACTGAATAAAGCATTAAGAGTTTAGGGCTAGTGCTATTTGATATGCACTTTACAGTTGTGGAAAAAGTAACATATTACTAATGATCCTGTTATTACAACTCTTTGTTGGAGAAAGAAACATTCTAGGAACAAGAAAGAATGTTTTCAGTACTATCCAAGTCTGAAGTCTGCCAAAGACACTAATCTGAAACAAATTATTATTTTGAGCGAGACAGTAATAAATAATGAAACACCACAGTTGTTTAAATACAGCACTTATTGTATATTCATTGTTAATGATGTTCCCAGTCTTTCAGAAATGTTAAACACAAGTAACTTATTATCCTGATTTTTAACCACGAGGAGAAGAACTACTCAATGAAGTAAAGGTGCATTTGCTATATTTAACACGTATAGTGTTTCTCACTGGTAAATGGAACTCTTTTGTTTTCTTTTAAAATAAAACCAGCCTAAAATAAATTCCTGTAGTAGGAAAACTAGGCACTGATTTCAGAAGATCATCTGCACACACACGTTGCTTGCTCTTCACTTCAGAGCACATTGTCAAAAACCTTAAAAAATCCGAGCAGAAAGCCCTGCTCTGGCCAGAAGTGTCTATTTTGGCTGGATGAGCAATTA